TAAAAATAAATAAATAAAATAAAATAAAATAAAATTTCTTTTGAATTATAATTCTTATTGTGTTTATTATTTTAATATAAAATTTTATATAAAATTATCCATCTATATTTTATGGTTCTATACTATCTCACTCTTTAATTCTTTTTTCCTTGTAAATCTTTGTTCAATTAATTTTTGAATAATAAATACATAAAAAATATTGTACTTTGTTATTATAATTAATTATTTATTTTTTTAGGAAATTTAATGTTTATTTTAAATAAAAAATAGTCATTTTCTTTTGGAAGCATGTATACAAAGGGGTGTCTACCCAGCATTTTTCTAAATTTTTAACTTTATAGCACAAAGATGCAATTGCTTTGGTTTCAAAAGAATGATTTTTAATTATTCATAAGTTGTATCATATTTTTTTGGCACAAGTTAAGAATGCCTAGACATATATTTTAATAAATATTATTTATTTTTCTAAGACAATGCATAATACTAGATACAAATTGTGATATATTCATATTTTACAAAACTTGAAAATAATGCAAGACATGTGCTAATATATAATACTTAAGATGCTTATAATTATTATAAATTATGACCATACTAAAAGTGTTGTCAAGATATTAATGACAATTTTTAACTGAATATTTATTTTTAATTTTTAAGGTATAGATTATTAAGGTTATTAGTAGTAGTTTATAAATTATTAATAATTTATGAAATATTAGTTTATAAAAAAAAATTAAATCAAAAATAAAATCAATATATTTATAATATAAGAAAAATGAATTAATAAATGTAAAATTATTTTTTTGATATTTATTTTTGGTTTTCAAAGTTTTTATATATATGAAATTGTAAATCAATTTATGTATTAAAAAATCAAATTTTATATTTTTTAATGATAAATCTTATTTTTCTAAATTAAAATTAAGTATGTATATATATATATATATATATATATATATAGATGCAATGACTAGTATTCAAATATACTAAATTTGAAAGTATTTGGATTAAATAATTTTGAGGTTGAATTTTATTTATAAGTTGTACTTTCTTTAAAAAATATTAAAATTTTAGTCTAATACTATCAAGCTTTTTTAGAAGAAAATTCTTTAATTCTTTTGTAGGGTTTTTTTTCTTTTTTCTTTTTTCTATAAGATACTTAAGGTAGTACAATTATAGAAGAAAGCATTGCCATCTTTATATTTTTTTATTAATATTTTTTAATATTATTTGAGGTAAAAAATAGAATGGATATATTAGAGGTAGAAATGTTTTTTTACTTATTTTGCATCTAAGCCATAATGTTATTTATTTCTACTAATCATTTTATAATATAAAAATCTAAGGATTTGTACATAAGTCAAAGAAGAAAAAAATAGAAATATAGAGATAATATTATTCTAAAAAAAATAGTCAACAATCTCTAAAGTATTCTAATACTTTTATAAAAATAATAATACTAATACTAATAATAATAATAAAAATTTTATAAAAAATAATCAAGCTTTAACAATATATGTATTGATCTTGTTATACAATTAAAGAAATGAATCTAAAAAAATTTATCAATACATTATATATATACATCTATTATTAGAAAGAAAAGAAAGAAAATAAAATCAAAATTATTTTCATATATATATATATATATATATATATATGAAGATAAAAAAAATCTAGAAAATATTGAACTAACATCAAAATAAAAGACAAGCATTTATAAGACTAAAGATACCCTTAGTTTTGCTTCTATATGCACCAACTAATAAGGTCATTTAGAAGTTTTTTAAAGACCACAAGACTTGTTGCCCAAGAGTCTAAATTGACCAAGTTGAATTAGAGCTTTGAGATGTATAAATAGCATAAAAAAACTTATTTTTTTGAGGTTTTTATAAATTTTCTTTTTCTAATAAATAGATTCTTGATTTTCATAACAGAAGACACAATTCTTGTTTTGGTATTAACTAAAGTAAATCTTGAGAGAATTTAAGACTATTTACAGATTTTTTTTTTTTCAATCACATTGGATTCAAATTAATAAAATTAATTTGAGAATTAATAATATTAAAAATCTTTTGTTCAAGTTTTTAAAAAATTATTAAGTTGAATTTAATTTAGATCACTTTTGTTGTAAAACATTATTTCAAACATGAAAAAAATATATAGTTAGTTAGTTAGTGATTCCATATTTGTTTACAACAACAGTTAATACTATTTATTCTATTTTGGTGAGATATTAAAGAGGAGGGTATGTGCAAATGGGCCATCAGAACATCTTTTTCATTGCTAAAGTAGAAAACAGCTGAAAATGAAAGGAAGATGTATCAAAGAACGGTTTCATACAGAAATAACGTGGTTTAATGGAATAGCAATGGAATTGAGAAAATTGAAAGTACTGACACCAGAACTTGAAGATACTGGCACAAATTTGAAAGATTGTTGGAAGGAAGAATTTAAATGCTTTGTTTTTTCCAACTCCATTGTTTTCCCCCTAAACAGCACAGAGAAAACAATGTTACACTCAAAATAGGGAGGCCCCCAATCTGGTTTATAACCAATCTCAACCCAAAAAGAAATTGAAACTTCCTCTAACCTCCAAAGAAAACTGCACCGTTTACTGAATACGCACTTTTAAATCTAAACATGAATATGAATTTTTTTCAAATTCATTCTCCAAACCACCCTCCTTTGCTTCGTTGCTCAACATTTTAGCGAAGAGATTAAGTGCAATAAGATCAAAGGATTTTGCTGCAGCTGTCAACTGGATCAATCTTATAGTTATTTGTTACTAGTGGATTGATGTACATGACAAGTAAATGAGGTGCTGCTTGGAGTTCAGACGTTGGATTAGTCCTTTGAAATTAAGTGGGATCTAGTCGGAGACTTCTGTGATTGATTGACCAAGGATCTCGCACATTTCTCTTCCTTCTAATCGCGTAGTCTGTAAATGAAGAACTTGGATAAACTCATGTCGACATGATAATGGTGTTGTTCTACATATCCTACTGAGGGGTGTAGTGTTCACAGAACAAAGGAGATTTCTCTTAGTAAGGAAAATTAGATTGATGTTTTTGTTGCATCTTAAAACCAGTTCCTCAAATTTATGAACGAGACTGGTGCCCTACTACTTCGGCTGATTAAGTGTCTGATATAGATGTGGAGGTACATCATTGTTTCCTCATTAGACAAGGGAGCTTTTCTTTGAGAAGTGCTCGAATACGCCACATAGGAAGTGTGGTGAAAGCGAATCTGAAGCTTGGGAGAGGTAATGGGACTCCGAACCCCAACGAAGAGCTTGGGTGCTCACATCTAACGACGAACACAACCCACCTAGTTTTGTATAACATAATGGACCTGATCAGACGTAAATCGATCAAAAGACCTATTCAGAACTTGATTCTTATTCATTTACATGTTACTCAAACTCTGCACCAGGTATCTATTCGCGCGTCATGAATAAAAAAAAGTTACAGTCCTATTTTCTTAGAATTTAAAGAACTTCTTTCATATCTTTCGATGTTTACATTCCATCGACCTCAGAGTTTCATGTTCAATAAGCTATGAGCCTTCGAATTGATAACATCGTATGCAAATTTACCTCAACCGCTGCTGTTGTCGCCTTTGCATAGGCTATTTTCTTTGGTGGTGTTGAGTTCATCAAACTAAGTTCACTGTCTTCAACATACACACACATCTCATTTGAAGTTGTTGACAAGGGTGACAAACTTTCTTCACAAAATAAAGCATTGTGCGGTGGTCCATTCTTCAGCAACTGTTGTCTGTACAGTTCACCTATTTCGGATTGCAATTTTGTGTCTGATTTAACAGAATGCTACATATTTATTAGCTTTCATCATCAAACCATTCAGTTCCTGATAAAGTTCATGATATTCTCCATGCCTTGGCGAGTATTGATGCAAATCTCCCATTCAGTGCTCTTCCTTGAATCATTGAAGGCTAGTAACTTTCAATCAATCAGGTTATGTATTTCTGTGGTGTCTTCATCCCTGTCAAGTGTCTCCATTACTTGTTTTTACTACTAGAAAGTTTTGCAAGTGACCTATTCTCATTTTACTCGAACCCCTAGCATTTACCTGTTCAATTTATTGGGACCAAAAAAATCCCTCGTCTGTCAAGGTGGGAATGAATTCCTCAAGCCAGCTGCTGATCTATCATCTCTGCTACATAGTAGCCTTGATCAGTATGTTAAAACCCTGGATTATTTCCGATGCATGGAGCTAATCGGTTTAGTCTTAGCCAAGGAATTATGCTAAGACCATTACTTTCAGCACAATTGATACAAGGACCCAATTTCCCTGATAGTCTCTCTGATAATAAGATTAACTACAGAAATTAAGAGTAGCAGACAATAAGAGTTACTATCAGAGAAATTGGGTCTTTGTGGCATAGTCCATCAATCTAGTAGGGTGCCGACATACTCAATGAAGAATCCCATTTTATTGGGACACCTCCTGCCAAGTACTTTTCAAAAGCAGCTAATCTTTTTCTTTCTTTTGCATGAATTTGGGATTTGCACTGGCAGAGGCTAGCACATTTTCATGTGTGTTGCACGTGCCCTGTTAAAATGGCTCTGGGTGAAGCAAGGATAGTCGTGATCGAAGCTACTGCTGTTTGGATGCCTCGTCCTACACGCTACATGAATGTTGTGTTATTGCAATGCAAGACCTTCGGCTGTGATCCTCGTTGCAAATTTCTCGATTACTTTTGTCCTGATTTAGAGAGTTCGCAATCAGTGTGATGTCTTTTTTTTATCTCCCAATTCATTTGCTCCATGGAAGGGAAAAAAAAAAAAAAATCTTTTTTCTGACACTCTCTCGAAATGCTAGACTGAAAGCAGCTAAGCTACCTCTCCTGGAATCTTCGAAAATAATACTGCCAGTGCCGTGAAACGTTTGGATCCACTGAGCTTAAGACATATCTCAGTGTGCAAAATTTTGTTTGTTTCCAAGACTCGGTCTGACGTTTTTTTGACAGTTCCATGGGATAAGAGGCATCAATGTTTTGATATCACGTCTCAGTAGGTGAGCATACTTAATGTTTTATATGAAGTCCTCAGACTGAGGGTAGCTCTCCGGAGAAACCGGTTTTTCCAGACTGCCCTTTAATTCACATTCCCTGCAGAAATTTGTGTACTTGAGCACCTCGTGAACTCAGCTAGTGGCTGTAGGTAACTGTGCTCCTAGATGTTCCAAACCCTTATGTGGAATTCAAAAGCATGTGACCCTTACTGATGTTGGAAGATATTGTCAGCTAGTCAGTCCGTAGCCACTCGTTCATCTAGAAAGTGGAGATAGACAGGTCAAAGCACGTAAGCGAATCTTTCTCTGGGTTTGATATCAGCTGCATTGCATTAGATTTACTGTCTGAGTTGGTCCACTGTTGCTCTTGTTTCATCTTTTCGCAGGTTAGGATTTCGAGTCACACCAGCAGGCAACCTTCTTCAAACCTTGAATGGCTCTAGCTATTTCTTCCGACTATCTAGAATCCAGGTTTGAGTCCTTCCACTCCTTTTGTCGTGCAAATATTTGCCTTAATGATTGACTTTTCGAGAGCAACTCAGCTTGAGCAGGTTCTTGGGTTCAGCATGTTTTCCTTCCAATCAGCTTTGTGGATAATCTTGAAAGCAGCTCTTTTGACAATTAATGCTTTTGTCTAGCGCCTACTAATTATATTTTGGCATTAAAAATTATCCGAAACCCCCCCCAAAGAAAGCGATTAAAACACCATCAGATCCAAACTCCATTAAACGTCCCAATCACTACCAGAGCCTAGCATCAAACTCTCATGGAGTGCATGACAACTACTGATCTTATCTCCTGGTTCCTTGGTACTCCACTTCATGATGGAGTCCAACCTTTGTTGAACCAGCCTTGAGGAAAAGAAAAATAATTGATTGATCTACAATTCTCAAAAACCTTTGCCCCTACTCTGTGAAACTCACTTGAAAAACAAAACTAAATTCAAGTGAAGGATTGTCAAATATGGTGGTGTGTGGAAAAAGTCCAAGAATTATTACCTTGTTCTTCAAAACCCATATTTCAAAATCATGAATTGAGGAGCATGGGCGGTAGGGTGAACAACTAGCACTATGTGCACACACGAGTTTCTCCAAAACTGAACCCATTTTCCTGCTTTGTAACCCCTACTTTCAGACGAAATCAAATCCACCACGATTCTGGTAAGCAAAATGAGTGAGGACCATCACAAGGAACTTGTTCCTGGACCACGCCTGTGCAGTTATTGCAAACAATGTAGAGAAGCCATGTCAAACAGATAAGAAGATACTACTCTGAGATTCACGTAATTCTTATACTGTTGAAGAGGCAGCCATTTGATGACCTAACAGTGGAAGAGAAGATTCAGCACGGCATCAAATGGCTGCCATCTTGACGAGCCTGCAAGCATGATGCGCGGCAGAATATTTATCCTGAGGACGACATTTACTTGTATTGTGTTGAATTATTATTGGTAAGAATGCTAGAAATAATATTAATAATATTAATAATATTATTATTATTAATGTGTGTTTGAAAACTATCAGATGTGCAAAATGGACTGTATTGAATGGCATCAAGGACGTAACTGAACGTTCTGGGCGGCATCACAAAATAAGGTTCATCCAGCGCTTGGGTGGAACATCGAATGGACTTCAACCCCTTTGCACATAGCAAGCAGAATAAAGAGATCCCCTCGCACTAAAGCTCACGCCCACCATGGAAAGTAACCAGGTGGTGAGAAGTAGAGCATTTGCGCAGTGGATAAGATGGCCCATCCAATGCCAGCTAGCACTGGCTCTGTTCCTCCAAGTGGAATCCATCTGCAGGAGCAACCATGAAAACTAAAGCTTGGGGGGGGGGGGGTCCCATCTCTTTCTCATCTTTAAGGCTCTTTCGCAAAAAGACCCTCAGTTCTGTCCATTTCTTACTTGAGATTAGCAGATGGGTTGTCAGTGCATCTGACCACCTTATCCACGCTTCTTCTGCTTCATTAACACCATCGTGCCTAATCCTACTTCAACTGCCACTTCTAGGATGGATATCGTTTCGAATAAACCACACTTGTTTAGTGTAGCAACCGGGAGTCAATTCTTTGGACAGAATAGGCCAAACTTCTGAACCGTAACGAGATTTGCAATCAACATCGTAAGGTGCCGTTTGAACTTACAATGTGCATGTTTAACCGGATTTTTAGTATTTCTCGACACAAAAGAAACTGTGCTGAGATGCACACTGGAAACTGGCATCTTCCTTCGAAGAAGAAAGTGGTGGTTTGCTCAGCGAAGTCTACGCACATTCAGGGCCAAATCCTCATTTTGAGCGATGCACGACTCAAGGTAGATTAGCTTGTGGAATCCACGGCAATTGCTAGATATGAATGAGTCATAAATGAGAGGGAATGCATAGAGACAAGGTAGCCTTATCTGAAAGGAAAAGAGGAGATTGGTCAGGCAGAGATGGCACGACTCAGCGATCCAATGGTGCAAGCTACATGGCGCCGAAGATCTCCGATTGCACCCCATTTCCTTTGAATGTGAAACGAACCTCCCCGCATTGCTGCTTCGAACACAGCGGTTTGTGCGGGCGCGGTTGACGTGGGGATTGATCGCCGATTCTTTGAAAGCGAAAAAAAAAGGTGGGACCCTAGTAAGGACAATCATGGATATGGAAGGAGACTCGACGGGAAAAATCAACAGAGTATGGTTTCCGTTTGTCAGGCTCCGCCAGACACTGTTTCTGCGGTGGTTATTCAACGCCGCTCTGAGAGGAGGCTTGCTGTGGCCCATTCTGTGGACGGCAACATTGCGGCTCCAGCCGACGCGTAAAGAAATCTTAAACATACAGAAACTCTGTTGAATCTAAGCCACCTGTGGAGATTCAGCGGTGGATGAACAACAGTTTCCAACCACACGGAGCTCGACCAACCAACCCAGTGCCGTGAGCATCTTCCTTATGGCGGAGAGTTTCCGAGCATTTTGTAGGTCAACAGTTCGGTGATTGTTTGCTGAAGGAGGTTGAGATTCAGCCAACTCTCGTGCTCTGGAATTCCAAGGGCGTGAGAGAACTATGCAGTTTTTCTCGGCGACTTGAATCATCGACGCAAGTGTGTGTCCCTCTTTGGCTGCAGTCCTTCGCTGCTGTCTTACAAAACCAAAGATTCTAGTTGATATCAAAGTTTAATAAAATGGATGCACAAACAAATAAGATCCGACGTGGACTTGAATTCATGATTTATTCTACGCCCTCGTCTTCTTATTATTCGTCGTTTGCATGTGTTAATTTGCGATCCTTGGTTTGTCCTGTCTAGTTTATTCAGCTGTCCATAGCTATGTCTCTTCATGCTTTTCCTATTCTGGAGTACTTTCACAATTATGGCTTGCGTCTGAGTCCAGGTGTGTGCTAATTCATTAAATTGTCAGAAAACTGTCCATGGTGAAGAAACGCATGAAAAACGTGGCAATGCCTTTCCGTCTACAAGCTCTAATTTCTAAAAATAAATAAACAAATAAATAAAATGTAGTATCCCTAGTATGCTTGCTTTTCATGTGAGTTAGATATTCAAGCCTCGTGAGTTAAAAATAGAAAACAGCGATTTTTTATTATTTAAGTTCAAATGAAATCTTATTATTTTAATCGCAGATTAGGGTGTTGAAGGTACATGAATCGAGCAGGTCTAAGTATTTAAATGGACATGACATGGCTGAATTAAAGAAGATGAATAAGTGTCACAATAGAATACATGTGCATAATCTAAATAAAGCACACGGTGCACTGAAAAAAGATGTTTGTATGTCTTGGTGTAGCTATTATGTTCGATACCCGGTTCAACAGTGGTGTGTAGAGTCATTTCTTTCAACTTATTATCCCTGTTACTCTTCATGAACATTTATATCACTATACGGCAGTAACAAACACACAAAGAGGTATAACGATATTAATTATATTAATATATATATATATATATATATATATATATATAATCATTCACAGTCGCCATTCATTACCAACGGAGGAGATCGGTAGTGTCAGCATTTCGATCGAAGCCGAAGCCGTAATACCTGCAACAGTTAGCCGAATGAAGTCCGACGGGGAGGGGGGCAGACGTCGGCGACCAGCGCCTTGCAACGCAGCGTGCCAATGCTAGCATCGCCGTGATGCCCAATTCCTATAGAAGAAAAGCTTGAGCAGCCTCATCATACCAACCAACCAACACACACACACCTCGCTGAAACCAGAAACGACGACGCCACTTGTTCGCACTAGAATTGAAGCCAACTCACACTAATATAGGAAAGTGCTGACTTGGCTTACGCTTAGTGGAGGCTGAGGTGCTGTAACAGCTCGACATTTGGATAAGTGCTTTGGGGGGATAGGAGAGATATTAACTTACTTTTCTGGATCATTCGTTTGAAGCTACGGTTTTAAGAGTGTGAGCCACGGCAGTCAGTCCTACACACTCTTTGGTTTATTTATTGGCTGTGCTCATTGTTCATTTTCCCCATCTCTGATTTTATTGTGCCTCTTCAACTTTCACTTTTTTATTAAGTACAAAAAGTGATCAATGTCAAAGTATGTTTGAGGTATTACCGATTATTTATTGGTTTGTAATTTGTTTGTCTATCTCCACATGCAATTTTTCAAGTTCTAGTATTTTTTATTGAGTACGCATTTGGGGGTTCATTCATGGCACATTCACAAAACCAAATAACTGGGGTTCAACACTTGACATATTCAAGATCACTCGAAATATTAAATCAAAATATCATAGTTCAAACTTCATTACCCCTTGATATTACCTCTTGCTTCAAACTTTATTACCCCTTTGATATGGAGTTAGAGAGAGAAGAGAGCTGAGGCAAGCGATATGTTTTTGATATTTGACCTCCCCTCTGTCAATATTTTGATTTCAAAATCACCCACCTTGCAAGGTGGGTGATTTGGTGAAGTATTAAGTAATATTTTGAAATATCACATTGATATTTTGAGATCTCATCACAAGTGAAATATCATCCAAAAAGGTCATGTTTGCTTTGTATTCAAACTAATTGGTATACACTATAAATAATTTAGATGGAATTGGTTTGTTCAATAACAAGTGTTGAACTTTGAATTCATGTGTGCATTATTTTGAATCTGTACTTTAAAAGTTCATAACAGTAAAAAATTTCAATTGATATTAATATCTAATTTCTCATTTTTTAAATGAGAAAATCTACAAAAAAAAAAAAAAAAAAAAACAATGGAATAAGATTGGATGTTCTGCAACTGAAAAATACCACTTGATTGAGAACAAGTTGGATTTTTGTTTGAAAAATAATCTCAAGGATGTCATCAGGTACATGTAAAAGATCATGATTCAATATCTTTGTTTGTGCTGATAGAAATCCAAGTCAAATGTTACAACTTTTTAATGTGATTTTTTAGGAAAAATATTTTTATACAATTATCAAAACAAACAATAACTGACTGGAGCTTTCAAACACATTGAGTGCCATACAAGACTATATCACTTACAATACATAACTCTGCAATATCTTTTATATGTATATATACATATATATGTATATATACATATATATATATATATACATATATATATATATATATATATAGTAAATGTGTAAAGAGAGAGTGAAGTAAATCATCATCCTTGCAATTGAGTAATCAAACTTTAGAAAGAAAAAATATTGGATTCCTTTGAGTTAGGGCCAAAATGAAGATTGTATGTATATGTATATATATATATATATATATATACATACACAGTTATAAAATTTTGTTGGGTTGCAATCAACTATAAGCTTGAATAACGTGGTTGAAATCTATTAAACAATACATGGATACAGTTATGACAAAGACCATTTTAACACTTGTCTTGTTCATTTTAAAGTTAAGTTATATTGACTATTTGATTAATAATAGATAATTCCAGATGATCGAAATTGGTTAATCACAGCCGTTTTACCTTATCTGGATCAAATTTCAACTCTATTGTGGGAATAAGCAAGTATCATGTGTGTTTCTTGGGGGTTCAACATAAACAACTCACTACCAGTTTACAAGCTGTCTGCAATCAAATGTGAACAGAATAAAACTAAAATTCAAAACCTGCATAAAATTGAAACCCTACATTATTGTCTTTCACTGGTGCTAAGATTTTTCTATTCAAACATCAAAATCAGTTTGAAAATCCCACAGAGTAATACTTTATATTGACTGCTTTTGTATGAAAGTTGCAAAAATTATACTAATATGCCACCACATAGTTATCTATGTGTGGAAGCCTCCACAAATGTGCTGTACAAACCTGCTTTTACAAAAAAATATTACCACTCTTTGATGTGACAAATGCATTGAAGCTTTTTGGACTATAGGTGTTTGGGATGACACCTCATAAATTGTATGGGTCAAAGTAATTGGCTCTCAAATCTTATTGCAAACATTATGGGATGATTATTATCAGCAGAGGCTTGTCACCAAGCAAGCCACTCTTTTGTTTGATTTTTTGTCTACACATGGGTGGTGACCTCCACATCATCCCTGTCATCAGAGCTGGCGTCTAATTTTACTTAAATTTTCTAATCAAGTGTATGTTCCACTGAAAGTGCTGATCTGTTCAACAGCACAAGCATCTCACTCCAATTCCAACACTTATCATGTTTCCCTAATCTCACCCTCAAACCCTAATTGACAAGTTTAGCAAGGTGTTAGTAATATGGCACTTGCTTCACAGGAAAAATGCCTTCCCATGTGTTTCATGGCACCGCATCTTCGCAGAAGAAAGAATGAAAGGAAGCCAATAAGAAAGCAGAAAACACGCAAGGAAAGAAGAATAAGAGAATAATAAAACAGAATGCCGCATGACTGGCTGGAAACACAAGCAGAAGAAGACGAGGAAGAGGAGCTGCCCGATGTTGGAAAAAGCTGGAGCAGCGATGGAATGACTGGCTAGGTTTCGAGAGAGGACCGCGGCCACAACACTTCGTAACCGCCCCCATCCCACGGATCACATGAAAAACACTTGCGGAACAGTCCAAAAACGATTTCCAAGTGGCGAGAAGCTGGATTTGGAAACCGGATTCGGAAGAGATTTGACGTGGCCTCGGACAGGCGCTGCGGTGAACTGTTTGTAAGTCATAGATGTGCCCTTGGCTCCGTCGTGTATCACTCCTCGCGGCATGATTGCGTTGATCTATGGAAAGGTAGCGAGGATCTACTCATTATCTGGACCGGAGCCTCGATCGCAAGTCCCTTGAACCGTCCGAGAGAGCCACCACACCATTCCCTTTAGTTTTTTGGGTTTGCTCTTCCTCGCTGCGTTGTTGTCGTTGAAGCGGAGAAGGCGAGCGTCGAGCTCGACACCCCCCGGACTCGTGTCAATGCCCTTGAAGTAGGGTGGGCTTTGAAACGGCGAGGGAAGAGGGGTGGAGAGCGAGGCGATGTGGGTTTCTGTTGCAATTGAGTCAGGAGGCGGGTGAAGGCCGGGGAGCTTGAGGGCTCCGCTGAAGTATTCGTGGCAGAATCGATGCTCTCTGTGGTGGTATCTGAGGGAGTTTGGTTGGCGTCGGTGGCAGGTGGGTTTGCGTGGGATGCAGGTTCAATGTGTAGTTGCAGGAGTCAATGGGGCCTTTGGTGTTTTCTTGTATCCGGCGGAGAATTTTGGGTAGATTTTAGGTCGGTTGGGGGAGGGGTTGAGGTGTATGGACGAGGGAATGAAATGTCTGAGGTTCTAGAGAGAGGAATGGAGGTAAAAGATTTCGGGATGCAGTTACGTGGTGGCGGACTTGAGCGGTTGCACAATGTTTAGTGAGCGTGGATTGTTGAGTCATGAGTAGGTGACGGGAATTCGGTTAACAGTGATTACTCGGTGACAAGGCGGAGGTGCGTTCCAGGGTTTCGTCTGAGTTTGTCGTTCTTGACTACTGGGGGAATTTGGAAAGCTCATGACTCGCCGTTAGATGGTCATGGACGTTGTGCCGCCACTGTTGAGGGTACACCCTGTGGCGCTATGAAAAGAATAGAGTGTACTAGATAGCGTTGCCGCTGGTCGAAGTGTTTGAATTGTCGGGGTTTAGTGCTAGGAATTGCGGCGCCAGCCACCACCACTCCGCCTAGATTACTGCGTTGGAGTCCGGTTTTGGCTGTGTGGTTTTTTATATTATTAGCCACTGTTACAGTAATCTTCCTTCTTCTTTAAGAGGAGTGTCTTGCAGAAATTCCTGCATCATTCCTCTGCGCATTCTATCACCATCTTTCTCTCAACTGTGACTATTACTGTGGCGATTTTTCAGCAGTGAGGTACATGTGAGATGTAGAGAAATACGTCATGAACTCAAGTCTCTACACCTGTGTGAGTGTTTTGTGGTTTCTGCGATCGCTACTGAGATTGAGATTGTTATCTCGAAGAGTCCTCGGTGTCATCTTAGAACACATATTGCAATTGAATCTTCGTTCAAAGATTGCTATTTTCGTTTGGGTGCTTTTAGTTTCAGAGGTAGCCAACGAACGAACTGAGATAACGTATAGAATAGGTTATTAGATTCACAAAAATGAGCGAGTTTGTAATCTTTTGTACAATCTTGTGGAGGTTTATGTTTTGATAGATTTCTTTGATCTTTTTTTCCCATCTTTCCTGTGAAAGAGAATTACTTTGATAGTAGGAGAGGCCTTTAGTAACATGAAGAGACATATCATTGCAATTCCTCTTAGAGGAAATGGTGTTTTTCTTCCTGAGTGGTATGCTATTAACTAGAGGATCGTAACTGATCTGTGAAGCGACTTTCTTAACCATCCTTAAATATCTTGACATGATTGTGAGAAATGCTATTCAGAATCAAATCGCTGTTCTGTCTTTTGGATTAATGAGTTATGCTTCGTGCCTCGGGATCCTATGGATTATTATGTCTCTGCCACGAGTCCTATGTTATCTGTGTCACGTATCTTTCGTTCATTTTCATATACGAAGAGTTCCTCACACTTAGCGGAGCGATTGACTAACATCTTACTCATTGCAAGCTTTTCTCTTGCTGTTTTGAAACTCGAATGTAACGTTCTCGATTCTCGCTGTGTGAATCAACACCAGTATTCGTTATTTTAATCCATTTGAATTTATTTTTGTTATCGGATGATTAGAAGCACTAAATCGACATTTTCTTTGGATATCAGTGTGAAGGGAACTGTCAATAAGGGATCTTCTAGTCTGCTCGTGGCTAAAGTGTGATCACCAATCGCCAGGGTTTTCGTCAGGGGCTTTCCTCAGAGGTATCTCGATTTTCTTACAAGCACCCTGACATTGCATGTAGTGGTTTCTTTATGTGACAGTCTCAATTCTCTTGTCATGTGTTTGGCCTAATGATAAAATTCAATCGGCTGATATTACTTCTGGTTTTTGGTATTAGGGTCCCTTCCAAGGAGCACTCACTTTGGTGTGTGCTCCAGCTCTGACGAGAGCTTTGTGCAGAAGAAATGGATGCCGCTACTGCTAAAGTAAACTATTTCTCGTGGGGGAAACCCGCAGTGATGGAGACTGCTGCGGATATGATGTTTTGTATGGTGCCTTTTTGGGTGGCTACTGCAATTGGTCTACTAGTTGGTTGGTTGTGGAAACCTCAATGGGCTAGCATTTTGTTATTGGGTGTGAAAAGTCGCCCCCGATTAGTATGGGATACTCCTCCTGGGTTTGGAGCACGTCGGTTTTGGCTGGCAATTATGGCCTTGTCCGCTCTTCCCATGTGGAAAGAGGCATGGAAATCATTTAGTGCGTGGATGTGGCCGTCTGCTGAAGTGTTGCTTGTGCCCACTGACGTCCCGGTTGACGTTGCCGGCCCTAGGTGAGTTACGCACATGATTTTCCTTTAGGATTATGCCTTAAAGGGTATCTTTTCTGGGTAATCGGTTTCTTGGGGGCTGCTAAGACGTACTTGAATGTTCGTCGATGTGCAGTGAACCTGATGCCAAAGAGAGGACTAAGAAGGAAGTGGTGACGAATGAGGATCTAGATAAGCTAATGACCTTGGCGAACGGCAAAGACGGAGGTCCTGAATGGCAGATATTTTTAGACAAATCTATTCATGACCTGAAGTATCAAGCATGGCGTCGTGAACCCGAGGTGAACAATTTATCTGGTGGACTCTGTTCAGGGCTTTCTAATTCTGACTTCTTACCATGACGGTTATTGCCAATGTTGCTAACACTTCATGAAACTTTGCAGCATGATGGGCCAACTGAATATAAGACCAGAACTGTGGTCGAGGACACATCCCCAGAATTGATGCGAGACTTTTTTTGGGATGACGAATTTAGGTGTCATTGGGATGAAATGCTGATCTACACCAAAACCTGGGAGGCATGTGAAGAGACTGGTTCAATGATAGTTCAGTGGGTGAGGAAGGTACGAGTCTTTGGCAAGCTCCATTTCCACTGAAATATGTTCTGCTATCTTGTTTTCATAGCGCAGGAGCAGAATCGAATGTTTTATGTTGATGAGAAGTGTGAGTGCAATTACTATTGTGCTCTTAGATAAGAGGAATGAGGTTCATGAGATTTGTGTTGATTTTTGTTTGAACGTGTGAATCAGTTCCCTTTCTTCTGCAAAGACCGGGAGTATGTTATTGCCCGTCGTATGTGGGAGACCAACAACACATACTACGCCGTAACCAAGGTATCTATACCGTTCATGCAAATGCTCTTACAGTTTATGTCCGGCCTGTTCTCAGTTTGTAAGCCTGACTTTTATCGACGTTTTATGAATTTTCTTTTGATTAGCCAGTTGTTGATGCTTGTGATTTCAATTGCAGGGTACTCAGTATGCTCCAATACCTAGACAGCAAGCGCCAAGGAGAGTGGATACTTTCTTTTCAAGTTGGAGAGTACGAGCAGGTATGTTTGAATGACAGAAATATCAGCTAGCTGAGATGTTCTGTGCTCTGGACGCTGGAGTGAGTAGTCTGTAATTTAGTAAATTACGACGTGTGATTTCTGACGTCTTATTGTGTATTACACATGTTATTGTTAGATTCAATTACCTCTTTACATGGGAAAAGCTTCTGATTGTTTTGGTCGGGTGCAGTTGAGTCAGCAAAAGGTGACGGGCAGATGACCGCCTGTGAAGTCTTGTGCTTTCATGCGGAGGACATGGGCATTCAGAGAGACCTTGCAAAGCTTGGCATTCGCCAGGGCATGTGGGGGTGTGTAAAGAAAATGATGCCTGGACTGAATAAGTACAGAGCGGATCGGAAGGCAAATTTGCCCCTATCGCCATCAGCAAAAATGGCAAGGAAATTTTGGAAAGTTCCTCGCCATCTCCTCAGCGAGCCTGAACGTTTGACGAAATCCTTTGATTCTGAGAATGTTAGGATTGTGGCTGTGAGAGACAGTGACATCCAGCAGGAAAACAAAAATTACGTGAAATGGGTTATATTAGGAGGTGCTGTTGCTCTGGCCTGTGGCATCGATAGGGGTGCTGTGGGCAAGTTTCTCGTTCTTGGAGTCGCAAGGCGCCTAGGCAGAATTGGAAGAAGACTGTAACATAGGTTAGTGTAACAAAGAAAAATGCCCGGGTTCACCTTTGTCCCCACACGAATGTGAATGGATCAGGTGGTTCCTTTCTTTTGCATTTGAATTTTGTATTTTATTTTAGATTTGGTGTACCTACTCAGGCTTTCTTTTTCATCCATTTTTCTCCCCCTGATAGCCTTTTCTGGGCCTGATGATTTCACTCCCTTCGTGATATATGATTTTGTGCACAGTTTGTGTTTTACTATTCTGGTACTACTGCTGTTGCGTGTGGTTTATTTTTGATGTGCCCTTTATTATCTTGAGAAATTCGAAACCAAATATGTAACTGCCTCAGATTGAGGCAGTGATTCGTGATATGGAAAGGAATTTGTGATATTACAGTAGTTGAGAAATGTATATACTTGATTTAAAAATAAATAGAAGATGGGAGAACAATATCTTGGAGAAAATGTTCAGGGTAATTAAAATTTAATGGAGTATCGACAAAAAATTAACTGGAGAATGTATCAAGTTAGAGGAAGATGGACCATACTTTTAGGAAAAAACTGAGTCCAAAAGTGATGAAATTCATGTAAGATTTTTCGATTTATTTCTTATTTTTTTAATATTTCAATATTGTATCTTACTAATTTTCTTAGAATTCTTTTTTATTACGATGAAAGTAAAAGATAAGAAAAACAAGTATATGGTATAGTTGACATATTGTGTATGAGATTTACTCTTTTGATATGATTATGACGTATTCTAAGTTTTCTATTATATTTGATGCATCTTTAAACTTTGTGTAAGTTTTATCTTTTTCATTAAATTTAATACAAAAAATTATAGTCCTCTGTTACATGCAATTACATGAATAGTAAATAAAAATAAAAATAAATCTGTTGTGTACAGTTTTGTTTGACATCCACTCCACATAGGAATTATTTTAAAGATGAAAAGCAACATTTAGTATTTATTACATAATGTTCATGTTCCATTACCTATTTAAATAAATATTTAATTGATAATAAAGATTTTTGTAATAGCCAACTACATAGTACGATTCTTAATGTTTTAATTGGTATGTTTCTAGTTTTTATTTTTAATTGCACACATAATCAACATACAAATATATTTGTGAATTTTAAAGAACATCAACATTTGTAAGATATGAGATTCATATATAGGAATCTTATATATGTTTTACACACTACTATATAATCTATAAATTTGTTGAACATATACTATTCTTATTTTCGAATGCAAACATCTTGATTAAGTATAGATTATTTTAATGTTTTGGTAAACATTTCTTAGACTAGTAATGTGAATGAATCCTACATTGCACAATTTTATCCACAATTATCCTTTGTGATTTTGCATGGCTTGCTACTTGCTTGTTGCTTGAGGGTAGCAAGCTAGGTAGCATACAATTGTTTTATAAATATTACTACATTTGTAGGATCCATCACTACTTGGAGAATTTGGAAGTGGGGGCGTTGGATTAGGGAGACACATTTGAACCCCAAGGCACTAGGTTTGATTTCCAATGGCAACAATTTTAAGACGAAAGTTTATCAGTGAAGAATGGAACTTTGCCATTCTTCTCCTTCCTCCCACCCCTTGGCTTCTCCTCTTCTTTTCCTCCTCTTCTCTTATTCTTTGAAATTTGTGATCATTAGTCCTAAGATCCCAATTTGTGTAGACAAGTACAAACATGCATATCAAAATAAAAACAACATAATATTAAAACTGCATAAATATTAAAACTGCCCAATATCTATGAATGAATGAAACTTTAAAAGAAAAACACCATGTCAATGGAGGACGATTTCTATTATCTTCCACTTTAATATTTGGAATTAGAGCATGTGTAAATAGCATATTTAAATACAAACTGCCATGTTGTTGACACATGTTCTAACTCCAGACAAAAGCTTTGATAATTACACAGAGAACCAATTTCTATTTTATATATGTTTTTTAAGATATTTTTAATTTTTATTTGAGGCAAGTATTTTTATTGTTATTTGGTGGTTTACTACCAAAGATCACATCTTACTGTATAAATTTCTAATTTTGGGATTGAATTAAGTAATAATGAGTTTGCTAAGATTAGAAAGGTTGGCTCCTGAAATAACAGAGGAAAAAATGTGTTAATTTGTGAATGACGTGGATTATTGTCTAAGAACATTGCACATTCCTACAGTGAACTTGACAGAGCATCTGGTGGTAGTAGCAGGCACTTCTCACAACACACAAAGGGAAGTGGAACCATCTCCTCCGTTGTTGACTAGATCTGGTTAACAAACCCCAACCCAAGATTGAACCCCAGGTGGGAAGAACTACAATAGAAAACTACAGTATTCTACAATATTACACTCTGAGGAAATCTAGAAATTTTGCAAGAAAAGACTCCAGAATAGGGGAATACCAACGTTTCACACCTTTTGAGGAGTCAGGCATCGATTTCAACACGCAGAACACGATTAACCACACAGATCAACCAGGCAGTAGTGTACTTTTCTTGATACCAACAGACAAAAACAGCACCCGAGTAATTCATGACCAATACAATTAAAAGGCTACATGAGGGTACTCTGCTCAACTAAAACACATTTCAAGACCAAAAATATACATTCCACAGAAAAGACCTCGGTAGAAATAATAATACTGGGATGTATTGTCTGTCATGGTTTAAAATATGTTAAGACAGACAAGCATGGTATTAAATCACCTACTTCAACCCACTTTTGGTACCTGTAGCATTTGGTAAGGATTTGAATCTTCACAGTTTTCATTACATACTACACATACGGGAACAGCACCCATGGAGAACTAAAGATTGACTGCATAACAGGAATGACTCCACAGTAACGTCATGACAACAAATTTCTGCGTCGACCTTCGCTTACAGATAGGCCTGGAGTCGGATGGTAGGACTACGTAATTTAATGTAACCTAGTGAGCTCCTCTACTGCTTTGTGAAGTTCTTCAACAGAAACCTCGAGCGAAGTGGCAATTTCTTCCATCTTGTTTCTACTCAGGTCCAAGAAAGACTCTATTAAGTCACCATCTAAGAAGTTCCGAGCGTCCACAGTTTTCCGCTCATTGCTGAAAGATCGCCATTGCTCATGGCTTAAACCACCAACACCTTTAATCACCTTCACCAAAGCCTGTTGTAGCTTCTGCAGGAATAAGAACTGGTCTTGTGGTAGGGAAGCAATGACTCCTATAACTCCATTCACGGTTCCAAAGATGACAGTTGGGATTTGGCTAGCTTCGCTGTCAGGAAGTCGCATTACAAGCGACCCATGGCGAAATCTGTTAACAAACTCGCCAAGATGGTACTCACCGACAACTTCCAATCGACCTCTTTCTTCATCTGTAGCTGCATCATTGTTTTTCCTTACTGTGAAAAGATTGAAACTATTTTCTGCTCCCAGGTATGTGTCGTCATCCAAAATCTCAACGGCTGTCATCCAATTAGCATTGTAGTCTCGAGCTCTCTCCTCGATTGCACCCTCTTCAGGCTGTCAGATACAGTAAAGAATATCATCACTTCAGGCGATAAACAATTCCTCATTTCATAATCCTTGAACTCGTCAAAAAAGATGAAAGTAGATGGGGGAAAGAGCTTAGTCTAGAGGAAAAGGACCAAATGAAACAACTTTGTGCTGATATATTCCAGTAGTTTGGGAAGTACTAACCTTGTAAATAAGAAGCGAAATTGATTTCATCAAATCTCCCACAACAATAAAATCTCCACGTGATTGAACATACAGAGCCAAGATATGTCCATGGTGAGAGGACTCGTACTGCAACTCCCTTGTTCCATCATCTCTTAGTGTCCACTTGTATAAAGCAATCTTCTGGTTGATGCCTGCTAGCAATTTCCCATTGAAAGCATTCAAATTGTAAACAGCACCCTTCACTTCCTTCTCTGCTACCAGCTGGATCTTGCCATCCTCCACCGAGAAAACAAGAATTCGACCCTGTTTCAACAAAACATTTACTACCAAATGAAAAGAAGAAAACTGTAACTGCGAACCAAAGCCGGGTTTGGAGCCACGATTTGGGGACCTATACTAAGAATAAAGAAAATCATGAACATTCTGAAGTGAAAACCAACCGTGTAACTTTCTCAAAGTAGAAAAGGTAGAAGGCATCTGGTAAAAATGGCACTGACCTTGCTAGGTTCACTTTCCTCAGGAAGAGCATAGGCTGTGCCCACACAATAGTATACATTGGAGTCGTCAGTGAAGGAACATGTAATAATGGAGCATCCGTTTTCATACGGGTCGAGAGGGAACCCCGATATTATCTCAAACGTCTGGTCTTCAATTAACCGGACATAATGCGTTTCCATGTCTTCACCGTTGGACCCTGGTGCATACTTGGCCGAACATATGGCAAACGTACGAGATTGTTCTTGATGGGCGATACGGCGAGGGTGTTCACCAAGAGGAACAGTGCGAATGTGTAGCTTCTGAATTTCATCAATAGTGCCGATAGTGAGCTCTCCTTCCTTCCCGATCGCAAGGCTGGAGACCACATCAAACTGAGTCAGTAAAGATTGTCCCCATTCAAACATAATCAGTACCAGAATTTATAACATAAAAATGACAGGAAGTACTCTATTGCGAACGTTGAAATATAAGCTGCATTAGGATGGAGACTTCAGGCACAGACATCCAGAACCGACCCCCTTAAAGATGACTGCGTTTATTAGAAAGTCTGTAACGAACCTGTCTGGAAACGATGCCGAGTTAAAGGGGCACATGTGATTGACTTCCTTCAAATTGACATTGCTATACAAAAGTTTTTTATTGCTGCTGTATATCACAGTCGGACGATCTGAGGCTGCAAACACATGCGTGGTATTTTTGGATCGAAAAGTCCGTAATGCTATGGGTTGTGTGCCAAGAGATATCTTCTTTCTATCAGATAATTCTCCCGTAGCAGGGTTCAGCGTGAAGTTGAACAGGTGTCCATCCCCCAAAGCACACAACAAGTACGCAATCTGTATACACACGACGTGATAAGAATCTGATAAAAAATACAAAAACCCAAATGATGATCAAATCGGTTATTGAGGAAGTTATAGTTTCACCAGACAGGAAAACCAATTTCAGTAAACCAGGCAACAGGTAAATTGATCAGCTGCCAAAGCTAAACAACCGAAGAAATAAGTAAACAGATCAAGTTCTTCGGGCTTATTTGAGGACTCTATCCCCAAAGTAGGGTCATATTGTATGGACAGGGTTCACTCTCAGCATACTAGAGTAGTAATCCCAATGAAATAAGAACCATATTTCAGTAGAAATTTCAGCATCAAATACTTTTCAAAACACAAACAGGTGAACAAGATTAAAAGGCCTCACCCCATCAAAAGAGCAGAAGAGGACAGAACGGGGTATGATTTCTCCACCCAACATTTCTTTGGTTATCAAGGTAAGTGATGGTAAGGCGAAAATTCGAATACTGATGTCTGTCCACATGCCGACTGCTACAAGGTTGCTGCGCTCAGGATTATCCCCCACAGGATTGATATCTAAACACGAGATTTCATACTCCAACTGTACATGTGCCACCTCCACCAGTGTACCTTGCCCTATTTCAATATATACAAGATTTCCACCTCCTGTTGCAAGCAAGACCTGTTCATCCATATTCTGGCTAAGATCAGCAAAGAAAAAAAGTCCTGCCAAACAACGACGATCACCACACATAACATATGGCATAACCTATACAATAAGTGAAAAAAGGATAAGAATGTCAGTGGTTTAGCTCATCATAACATACAGATAGAACTTCAAATCATGAAATCTTCTAGTAACACAGATCAGAACAGACCTGAGACGCGTTCGCCGTAGCAACGTTGATAGTCATTGGTGCCGGGGCTTTCCACTCTGTTAGTTGTCTTCTAGTCTTTGCATCAACAAGACGCAACGAGCCTGCTGTGACCTGCGTTAGATGATAGAGAGTCAGGAAACAGTATGATGGAACATTACATAAATCAAATCCGAGAAGTCATTGCAAAAAAGCCCTCACATCAAAAGTAGGATTAAACTAATACAACACCTGTTTCGTGTGGCTTCGCAAAAGAAAAACCTGGAAATAACTCATGGTCCGTACCTGTACAAGTTGGTCGTGGACCGCATTATAACAAAAAAGGGTCTGAGCTTCAGAGTCAAAGCCATCGATCTCTGTCTCCTCAAGTTCATCATCCGTGTTCATTGCCAAAATACGTGTCTCACTTATGAAGCTCACAACAAGGAATGTATCATAGACATCACTAGATGATGCCCGAAGAGACCACATGCCCTTTATGCCTTGAAGCTCTGCAGAAGCCTACAAGAATCAACTCATATATGGCTTGGTCAGTGCAATATACTCACAAAATGCAATACGAATTACATCATCTGCTAGAGAGAGAGAGAGAGAGAGATAGTTACAAGTAACCGAGGATTAAGTGACCTTAACGATAAAGGCCTGGTAGACAGAAATTAGAATGTATGTTAAACAAGAAAAAAAAAGAAAAAAAAAAGGGGGGGGGGGGCAGTACAGCAGGTAGTAATATCTGAAGTATTTACATGGCATTAACAGTAATAGAACTATCTCGGACAACTTTGAGCGCACTGCACTAAAAGCTAACCTGCTCATTGATGCCAATACCGTTTCGCACGATACGCAAAGAGCCATCTTTAAAAGCACCTGAACAGGTTACCACTTGACCTTGACCTTGCCTTTCAAGATCCACAACACAAAGATCTACAATAGGACCCAAATTCACATAGCTCTCCAAAACCTCGACATAGGAATTCTTGGCATCTGCCTGGTGGTTTAATCTGATGAGCTGCAAAATCAGATTAGAAAAATCACCTTTGGGCATCAGAATGTTATTGCGACGAAAACTAGTGTACGCCTGTAGAGTACACCGAAGACACTAGTATGCACATTTAGAAAATACAATATGTGAACCAAGAAACTGCATCACCATAAAAAGGGAATACCAAATGGGAAGAGCTATTACCCATATGATTGTAACGATAAATAACTCACAATTCTAAAACGAGGAACGAAGCTCATTTGATGCAACAAAACATTAAAACCTGATTTAAGGCAGAGAAGAGAAAGAATAAACCCAAAAGAAGCTAAAAGAAAAAACAAAGAAACCGACCTGTGAATCACCATAGCTGGAACCAACAAAAACTACACCATTGTCCAGGTAGGACAAAGTAGAAGCTGCTGATGTCTCCCCAAGAGGCTCCACATTTAAGGCTGATACCCTGTGAAACCTCACCCACTCATAGTATGTTTACCAATCATACATAGTAGTTACGCGCATACTCCCCATCCACAAAGAGGAAAAGACGAAAGAAGGAATTAAACCAAGATAAGTGCAACACCCTCGATTGAAAGGTGCTCTCAGGAAAATGATGCTGCTGGGAAAGCAAAGCACTGACCTTTCCTTATCATGCGAAATAACAAGTAAGTATAACATGCCATTATGATCGCTCAGCAAATATCGCGACCCATCACTATCCACTCTTCCATAAGCCTTTGTAATTGACTGTGAATACCTCCACCAATCATGTCCACCGTGAGTATCTCAACAAAGATAGACCCGAGATAGTTCACAAAATGCATAGACCTCAGCAGAAACGACAGCAAAACTCTTAGCCTTGTTCACTTGAAACTCTCATCGAACTCTACCACATATTGGTAAACCAGCTCACAACTTTACCGCCACAAAATAAAGACCACGCATGCGACTTTTACTAGGGCTAGATTCTGATTTAAGATGTCCAAGCTTTGCAAAGACTCGTTTCAGCTCAAATTATAACGAAACTCAAATCCTAACTGAGTCTAGAAACGAATACTGACGAAAGACGTCTCAAGAAAAATAAACGTGAAGTATTATACCGGTCGAATAGGAATGGCTTTAAAAACAGAACCATTATAGTAAACAATAGTCTGTTCCCCAATAATTATGGCACCGCCCAACGGAAGTGGAACAGGAATCAACAAGCCTGCGCCATTGTCCAGGTTATTTTGCAACCACGGACCCTCTCCAAAATCTTTTTCTTTCAGTTGCACCTCGTACGTCTTGACATGTCTGGCGTCTTTGTTGTCCTGATTGGTCACATCAGAAAACCACCATCAGTGCTACCAAAGTCGAAATTTTCCCTTCAAGAATTATGTTTAAAAAAGGAAGCAGTATGTAGATCTGTCAGATGTACAACGCATGACCCACAAAATTTGAAAAAAATAGGTGACAAGGATCAACCTGATAGAGAACTGCAATAGTAGGTTTAGCACAGCCATAAAGAAACTTGATGTCCAAAACTTGCAGCTCTTCCAACCTGCGCGACGTAGACCTCTTAAGAAACCAAAAAAAAAAGGAAAAAATAAAAACACAAAGAGAAAGAAAGAAATGGAAAGATGCAGAAGTAGAAAGAAGAAGGAAGAAAGAAAACAGCGATTGCAAGTCACATTCTTCCCCACTGCACCAATAGTGGAAAAGAGGGGTATGATGCCTTAAGGACAACACCCAATCTGTTATACAGCGAGCGTCTTCAAATCATACAAAGCAAGCCAACAATGTTTGCATACCTGATATTGAAGGCTTCTTTCAGTTGACCTTTGTTGTCAATAGGAATCACCTAAAAATATACGAGAAACTGGTCATTGGAGATCATTCAATTTCAACGTATTGCAAACATGTCAGAAAATGACAAGAGAAGACGAATAATTTAAGACTGATGTGTACACCAGCAACTACTGATATCTCCAGAAAATCTACTCTGAAGAACTGGGTGCAGCTGAGGGACTTTCACCACTCTCATATATGTCCTGCTATTCCCTAGTACCGAACATTTGAAGCAGCCAAAATCCACGCAAGAGAAGCCCTCAGACATAAATGACTAATTAAGATCAATTCGAAAAGAAATACTTAAGCAACAACCATATCAACAATTCAGATCATCACTAACACAGCAAATATATTTGAAACGAAAGGCGAACCTTGAACAGCCCATCATAAAGATGCAGACCAATTAGGCGGCAGTCAGGGTCAACGATGCCAATCTGGAAAAAAAAACAAAATGTATCATACTATCATTGACATTCATACAAGGAAAATCCCAAACCCTGCTAGTGAACTTCAGAAGCAACATGACAGCAGAAACGCATTAAAAACTAGTGAAATATTAAACCTCTATTCCCAACATGCCCTAAGATTACAAGCACTAAACTGCCTCCTCTCCGCGTAATCTTAACAACAAATTTAAGTATGCACCTGTCCATTATCTGTAGGTCGACCAATTCGATCAGAAACATCTCCCATCGCTCTGCAGGAATCCATTATACCATTTGATTGGGATTCAATCTTGTGATTAATCTACCACTAGAAAACTTCCAACACAAGAAGAGTAGAAGGGATTGAAGAGTTATGAGAGGAGAAGTTGAGACATGTTTTGTAGGATCCAACACCCAAATACCTAGACCTACTGAAGTATTGAACAGTATCACGAAGGTCCATATTTTTACCGTGTAACGAGTAAGCCGGTTTCTGCATCCCATTGAAGTACACAAAATTTATATCTCTCGAACGATATAAACAGTACGTCCTGTGATTCCCCCTGTAACCGAAGCACAGAAAAAAGAACTCATGTTCATATTTACGTTCCATCTGTCGATTAGATCATATGCTAGCACAAAGTTTCATGCTAGCAACTACAACACCCAATACTTCCTCAACTGGTAGACACAACTGGTAGACTAAAAGGCTTGCTAGCGTATTCGATTTGCACCAAACAAGAAAGCCGTAGGTTTAGAATCGCAAAATTCAGCAAATGTTTCTAGTAAACCAAAACAGCTCACTACGACTCACAACTACAAAGTAGATTTTCAGCTTCAAAGCAGGAAACACCATTCAACAACTTACAGGAGGCCGAAAAAGTTCCAGGGTGGCAATTCGACCATAGATGGGGACGTCGAGCATGGGCTGCATTTCGAGAAAGCATGAACATCAGCTGTTTTCTACATATAACAAAGCTATTTATGCTTATTAAAACCCGGCATCACAGGGTGTGCGGCAACATAGTTACTCCAATCGTGAAGAATATCCATGTCGCAAGTCGTGCAACGTTTGAGTACACAATCTACCAAATGCCAAGGAAAGGTAAGCTCCGGTTCCCTTAGAAGTAACCGCAGCATTAAGAATGAACTTGCATATTGCTTTGTCAAACACGATGAACATACTAAAACCGTGGAAAAAAGGATAAGCAATTCTTTGTTCATTCATTTGTTAGAGAATACTGTCTTCTCGCGCACTTTTGATCAACAAGTGTACACGAACAGTTGAATGTACAATTGGTCTCAAAACAATAAGCGCAGAGATACTTAAGCACTTATACAAGTTCCTGCAAGGAACACATATTTCCATAATAATTCAAATCTACATGAGTTTTTCATACAATTTAGAGGGTTTGGGGAACAAATTAAATACTTACTTGGAGCCCTGACGCCGTCAACAGGTGAATCTCAATTCGAGTGCATTTTCTAAAATAGGAGTCAAGAATCTCATTGACAAACGAGTCTTTAGTAAGACCGTGTAAATGGCACGAGCTGTTGAGATAAACACAAACACAAGAACTGGCAACTTCATACACAGTAGTGAAATAGTTCTCCACTCTGTGAGAAACATAAATTGTTAACACCCCGAACGAAGCATAATCACTCCATGTGCACCTTCTCTCCTAAAAACCCCCTCTAACTCCCGAGAATAAATTCAATCCTAAACCACAGAAATGGGAAGCACGAAATAGACGCAACACTTTCAAAAGAGGAAACTACGACATAATTGGCAGCCTATTGTCCTCCCGTTCTCAACCAAGTACGTGCTAGCAAACATTCGTATGGTAGACGCATAAACAAAAAATTAACAGTCGCGTAAACTGCCCGAAGCACATATACCGCCGCTGATTTCAACGTCTAAAGAAATTCAAATGCCTATACTTCCAAAGTACGCGATGCTGATTCGTAAAAGTCGTCAGGGAGCTCAATTTCGTCGCAGTTCAGTACAAATAAACCTATCTCAACCAGATTATTGAGTCCATCATCGGAACACACGCAACCACACCACTGACCTAAACATGCCGTCCGATAATATCAAAAAAATTCTAGTATCACAAGCATTCTACGCCGAGGGCACACTTCCGACAACAGAAATTGGTGCAGCTCAGTAGAAATAAATTAAAAAAAAAAAAAAAAAAAAAAAAAAAAACACACACACACAAGCATAACCACAAAACTATGTATAAACCATCGTAATTTTCACTCACCAAAATACAAAGAGATGAAGACTCTCGTGAGAAAAAGGGGAAAAAAAGGATACGCGATGATAAGATTGAGCTCCTGCGGATTAGTGAAGTAACCGACGCACGAATGCGTCACATTGGTGGGCTTGTGCGCCGTAACTACATAATTCCAGCCACTCATAGCTGCCTCTTGCCAAAGATCCTTCACCACCCGTCCTTTCTAGCCCTTGCACAAAATTCCCCGAAATCTGAGCCTGAAGCTTTCCCTCTGCCTGCTTCAACTCGTCACGTTACTCACCTCACCTTAGAAACATCAAAGCAAACCTGCGACTGCATGCCATCGATGCACATAAGTTCGTGAGCAACTGAGCTTCACAGCAGGAAACACAACCTCTCGGAAAAAAAGGAGCGTCTAACCCTAATGAGTTTTTTTAAAAAACAGAAGCATCTGAGAACGCAATTACGAAACCCGTTGATACCCTCCCAGTCCAGCACCCAGGTATGTGAGAAGTTACGGCTTGTTCAATGACATTCCACGGGGAACTTCGTTCTAATGATCACTTTCTTAAGAATGATTGTGAGCATGGCACTCTGCTCGAGTATTACCCAGGAACACTGATAGGGAACGTGAGGGAACGCATGTAGTGACGTTGTGTTGTGATGGATGCAAATGAATTGTGTGGGAAAACCATATTTGAACAATGTGACCAGAACAATATAACAGGGTTGAAAGAGGAGAGTAGTTTGTTAGCTCTGCCCTTTGAAGTTAATAATACAACCCATTCACTTCTTTATTGCCGTCCAAATTTTGCATATGTATTGAACATAGACATATTGTCGACATTGATGGATGTAAATTCTATATAGCAATACATGGCCACAATTTGACCAATTACGTGAAATTCTTTCATGAAAATTTAATATACTAAAATTTGGGACAACTTAAAAATTGAATTGATTTTTCTATTCATTAATATTAACATTATTTGGACTTCACCATGCAACTTTTAATTACTTTGGTAGATATTTTAGTCTTTCATAGATGAAACAAAGTAAAAATACCATTTTAATGTCTAAATATTTAACAATTGTGCATTGAACAATATGTATTAATTAATATTACTTCAATTTTTATGGCCATTTAATCTACTTGAATTGATCTAACAAAGAAAATTTTGTACTTTATGTAATTTGGATTGATCATATATATATATATATATATATATATATATATATTATTCTTTTTATATTCTGAACTTAAAAATATGCTTGTTTTTTTGTCATATAATGAAATATCTAAATTCTTACCACAATAATTATATATAATCTAATATATATAAATATTAGAAAATAAATAATTTGGCATTTAAAAAAATCTTAGATGAATATTAATTACAAAAATAATACATTTTATTTATTAGAATAAAGAAATATATTAGATTTATAGAGATTTTAATATAATTTATATTTTTATAAGAACCAATTAAGTATAGTAGTAATATCTAGATGAAAATTAGAACATATATACATTATATGTAAGATAAAACTAATTTTGAAATTTTTATGAATTATATTAAAAAATAAAAACTAAAACTTATGTATAAATTAGAATTAAATTATTCTATTATCAGAATTATTACTAAATTTATAATCTACTTCAAAGAATTTAATATATATATATATATATATATATATATATAATAAAATATTTGACATCATATTTTAATGAAATGATTTTTTTTATTTTTTTAAAATAATATTTTTTATTTGAATTATTTATAAAATTCTTATATTCATACAAATCAAAAAGTACAATCAAGACTTTCTAACCATTAAAGAAATAAAATTTAATTCTTATACATAAAAGATATAAATATAAAATATAATTATAATTATAACTATTTATTTATACATGATATGTAGTGGTATTTCATTATAAAAAATAATTTAAAATTTTAAACTAATTTATATATATTAAAATCAAAATTATTATTACTATTATTATCAATATTATTTTTAAAAAGTAATCTAAAATATTAATTAAAGTATTATAAAAAACAAAAAATAGTCACTATTTTTTTAATTAATATATAGAATTCTTATTGTGGACATTCATATTTATTCTCACAATTGTGTAGATAATATGAATGTATAGAAGTATGTAAAAGTGGATAAAATTAATATAACTTGTGGAAAAGCTTTATAGATCTAACTTTGACTTTGGCCATAGCCATTATAGTTTAATATTTTATCATCTTTAAGTGATATTCTAGTCTTTTTGAGTGACATAAGAGTGTTTTGATATCTTAATTCTTTGAAGTTCATGTCCTTGACAATTTGATAAGAGTGCTAACTTATTATTCTTATCTTGTTTCAAAACTGAGTGAATTATTCCTCTTCTATTGATGTGATTTGAAGATTGTGGATTATCCATCTTTGAACAAACTATTTAGTTTTCCAACACCAATTTTTTTTCTTAAAAAGAACATATTATCCTTTTTTGTGAAAAAATTTATTTAATATTCGATGTTGTAGATTATTTTTTTCTAATTTGACTTTTTGATTTCTTAAGTTATTTGAAATAGAAGGAAAAACCATTGATACTATACTTGGTGGAAGTAAAAATAGATTTGCAATTGTTGCTGATCTTCACAAACTTATCAACAGTCTTAGAGTGGAAATTTCATGCATCACTAATGCCAACCACAGAAATATTAATCCTATGTATATAGAAGAAGTTCAGAATCTACAATAAAAAGTTGTGTAGTTGAAAGAATGAAGTAGATTGACCTCACAACCAAATCTAGAAAGTTTTACTTTTACAAGTATAATGGAGACACAGATTAGTATATCCAATAAGTTTGATAGAACAAGATCAAAATTTCAAGGATTTTTGTAATAAGTCAAGTTCTATCTAAGATTACATCCCTTCCAGTAGTGTGATGGATTTATTCAAGTTGAATTCATAAGCACACTTCTATTTGGAAGTGCTCTCTTTTGGTTCATATTGTTAATGGAAAATGATTCACAACTCTTTTATGATGTGAATTCATTCTTAGAAGTATTTATGGCTATAGTTGAAGAAAGTGATTGAAAAAGAGTAGCAAAGACTAAGATCTTATCCTTATAATAAAAATCATGGTCAGCTACTATATATGCTACTAAATTTCAAAATCTTGCTTGTAATGTGGATTGGAATAATAAAGCCCTTATCAATCAATTTCAATATGGATTGAAGAATAACATCAAAGATTTATTATTGACAATATCAAAAGTAAAATCTTTAAAATAGTTTATTCTTCATGCCATTACATGCTTCAATTAATTATTTAAAAGATGTCAAGAATAAAGACTTGGCTAGAGAAGAATAAGCCAAGTAATAACGATAGTTCCTAAGTTTTCAGAAACTTATTTATCAAAGTCAGAACCAATGCAAATTGATACAATATATTTTAAACTCCTCACTTAGCAAGAAAAGACTCAACATCATTAAGAGAGTTTGTACTTATATTGTAGAAAAGCTAAGCACATTGCTCAATATTGTCCAAAGAAGTAATGCAATCACAAAATAAGAAACATGATTATCAAAAAAGATAATGTGTCCAAAAACAAGTTTTTCTAACTATTATAGGAGCTGTGTGGTTGAAATCATGTGTAACTTCTAGTAAAGGTTATATTCTCTCCTCAGATCACTCACCTTATTTTACAATAGATAAATGTTTAGGACCTAAAAATGACAAAGACTTTGCATTATTAGATTCAAGAGTCCCAGCCTGTTTTATAGATTAAGACTTTGTTAAAGAACAAGAAATATTTTTAGTCAAAAAAATTAAACCCATACATGTAGAAGTTATAGATGGTTTTTTGTTATTTTTTGGAGATGTTACTCATGAGACAATTCCTTTAGATGTAGCAATCAAAGACCATAATATTGTAATATTATTCAATGTGATAAGATTTCCTTCTAATCTAATTATTTTAGGATTATCGTGGTTTATGAGTCACTAAATTAACTCACTTTGATATTTAGTATAAAAAAACACTAATCATGCTTAAAATCATAGATTTAGTGAGTTAACAGTAAATTTTTTAGGAAAAATAGAAAATAGATTACTAATAGCAGATATAGAATCTAGGGTAGAATTTATTAAGATGAATTTCCATATTGGAGATATTTTTTGTATCTAATATTAGATGATGGCCAATGGAAATATTCCTCATTGTCATAAAAATAAACTCTTATTTTATTAATAGATCTTAAAACAAATATATGTATATGTTATGGAAAAAATAAAAAATAAAATAAAATAAAAAGATCAAAAGGAGTAGAAAGAAGAATAGAGAAGAGAAGAAGGGAGAAGGAGAAAGAAGAAAAAGAAAGAGGGGAAGAGAAGGAAAGTAGGACAGAAGAAAAAAAAGAAGGACCGAAGAAAAGAAAAGAAAAGAAATGAAAGGATGAAAAAAAATAAAAATAAAAATATAAGACAATTAAGAAGGCGAGAGGCTGCCCCTGAATGGCGGCAGCCTACTTGTTGATATGAGTCGGGGCAGCCTGGGCTCCGATCGTTCGAATCTCCTTCCTGAGCGTGTTCTCTCCCGAGAGTATTCCTTTTCTGTACATGTGGGTGCATGGCGGCACTTGTTTCTCTTCATTCCGTCAAAGTGTGGGAACAAAAAAGAATCTTTGTTACGATCAGTGCACGACGTCAAGGTTCGGCGTCGTTGCTTTGTGTCCTTTGTATTGGGAGTGCTGTGGGGCAGTTGTTTCCCTTTCGTTTTTTTGTTTTGTTTTGTTTTGTTTTTTGTTTTTTGTCTTCTCCATGTGCGTGGTGGCATTTTGTCTCTTGCCCCATTGAGGTGCTGCGGTGTAGCGGCCAATTGTTATCGACTGGGTCAGCGAGGGCTTAATCGAGTTGCAGCAGTTGCATTGCTTGCTGATTATGGTCGTGAATGAGGATGATGGCTATGGGTGCTTCTAAGTTCTTTAGGTGCAGCGTCGTCGATTAAGTATGGAGGCGTGGAGGTTGGTCATCAATTGTTCTCTCTCTCACTTGGTGTTGGTAATCTAGACGACTTGACACGGTTTACTGAGCCAGTTAACTCGACGATTGGTCTACAAATGGAGGTGGCGCTTCCTGGCTCAAATTTACTCGACCTGTGTATCGACGGTAGCACATCAAGGCGGCGGTTTCTATTTTTTCTCAAAACTATGCGTGCGGTCGACGACATTTGATCTTCCACAATAGCAATTCGCTGCGTTTAAGTATTGTAGAAGTTCGTGCAGTGAGGCGGTTGTCCTCATTGATACTGACTCAATCTATTTTTTTCCTTCCTTCACTCAAGATTCTGGCAAGTTACATTGATGTGGAAGTTTTTTTATCTTCTAGCTGCTCGATGATATTGAGCGATGGCAGTAGCA